GACCTGTAGAGTTTCCTACAATCTGAAGTCTGATTGATTATACTCCTTGGTGCTGTTTTACATGTTCTTCTGTCTCAGAAATTTCCTGTAAATCGGTAGTTACAGCTAGAGACTTGATCAGATTCAGATGCCTTTGTTTGTTTCGTTTGTGTAAGTAGTCAACATTTCATAGACTTTACATAAAAATGCCGATTTTGGCTTCATTTGAAAATTCTGTAGATCTGCCCCCACCCCCCCACCCCCCACCCTGACCCGGCAGGGGTTGCTCTGGGGCTGGGTAGTGACCACGCCTGTTCCTCACTTATGTGGGACACGAATTATCCTGCAGACCCCAGTTCACACTACTTCCTGCCTGGCTCCCAGGAGCCTTAGAGCCCCTGTTGGAAACACTGCCTCTTCAGGGGCTTTGGTAGACCTCTCAATGCACCGTCACAAGAGGACTTTTCAGGAATGTGGTGGAGAATAGAGACGACTACAGTTCAGACAGACTTTCTTAAATGCTAGAAGGGAAAGAGATAAGCAGCCACATAAAGGGAGGCCAAGGGATACAAATTTGGTGAGTCCCCAGGATAAGGGACAGAGAGAAGTAAAGCAACAAATTAACAAGAGTGCTGCAAACATGGGAGACGGAGCCAGTTCTGGACTCCTAACGCATGGTGGGAAACTAAGGAAGGAAATGGGTTTTAAAAAGAGACAGACTTTAGTCTTTTTATACATTATGATAATATTGAAACCTTAAAAAGGGGGGCTGACAGGAAATGTTACATTGACCAACAGCCCTAAATCAGAAAGTGCAAACATGTAGCTGTAGCCTAGCAGAAATCAAGTGGGGATTAAAGGAAATGAGGGTAGAAAACCTCCTGGGAAAGGCCACTAGGAAAGGACCAGGAGCCACACTGTGGAGATGTGGAAGAACTGGAAGATATTTCAGAAGAAAGGATCTCGAAAGTTGTAGCATTTTTTTTTTTTCCGATTTGCAAATGTATTGAACTGAAAGGTATAAAAATATAGAAAAACAATGTTTTGGAAAGAATAAATCTTTACATAAAAGCATAAAATTATGACACGTTGGGATGTTCCTGGAAATTTCCAGATAGTTTCCCGTACTCAGAAGCATGATTAAGAGAGAATCTGAGACTGGTTATGAGGAAGGGTGGAAAATTTTGAAGGACAGGCTGATTATGTAAGTTTTCGTCTGTGGTGTTTAAAACTGTTGCCATGATATTTCAGTTATTAATAACAATTTGGGGAAATCTACACGCTTCTGGAGAAACATTTGGCTCTAATGGGAAAGAAATGCCACTGTTTGTGAATTCCCAAGTGGATGTAAGGAACCATTCACTTGCTAAGCCTCTTAGGGAAGCCAGAGCCGATTTCACCCTTAACAAGCTGTTGACAGCGTCTGATCAAGGTACCACCTGGAACATGTTAGCAGCACAGAAAGTGGACTGTGGAGACAGACCTGTGTTTAAATCCCTTTATGTCACTCACCATGTGACCCTGGCAGCTTATGCATGGAAAATTTCTAGGGTATAAAGGTTGCTTTACGTTCATAGCTATGATTCTTACTGCTTGGATGGTAGGACCTTAGAGCTCTGAATAATTGCCTTCCACTAGCAGCCACAACAGTTTACACTTATAGAACGCTTACTATGGGCCAGGCACTTTTGTAGATACTTCGCATGTATTATCCCATTAAGTTATTAAGAAGCCCTACAAAGTAAGTGTAATATTAAAATAAGCCTCATTTTATGGATGAGGAAGCTGAGGCTCAGGGAGGTTAAGTAACTTGCCTAAAATTACACAGCGAGTGACTCTGTAAGTGACAAAGCTGGGCTTTAAACCCAGCCAGGCAGAATCCAAACGCCAAACTCCCTTGCTTGACCACTTCCCGCCTTCCAATCTTAGGGAAGCAGAGAGAGTCATGCCTCATACTGGCACTTTCCAACCCGTGGTTCCTAATTTGTGTACCTCAGTTTTCTTGGAGGTCTCCAAATGGTTTTCACAGTTTCCAAAAGCCTCAACGAAAACACATAAACTTGCAATCAGACCACAAGTTCCTTTAGGTTGGAATCTACGATTGACAATGAATTGGCTCAGGTTTTGTAGAAGCTCTGATTGGCGGTTATTTACACAAAAACATTGCAGGTTGTTTTTTAATTGGGAAGATGAATCATTAGTTAATAAACACAATTTAGTGGAATAGAGCTTTCTAAACATGTGGCCTACTGAGAAAGACTAGAGAGTGCTTGGCTTCGAGAAGGTTGGGACTGCTGGCGTACATGTGTGTGCATGCTGCCCAAACCGCCAGCCTTTAAAACCCTGCCTTTATTTTTAAATTACATAATTCTTTAATTTGACTTTAAGTCAATATATTTTTCCTTGATTATTTAAAATGTTTTGCTAGCTGTGTATTTAATATTGTAATCTACTTTAGTTTCAAGATGATAGGGTTCTTAAAATATGGTCGGGAATGGAGATGCAGAATTGGAAACATTGTATTCCAAACTAAAAGCAGGATAACAGGCTTTTTATCCTTTTAAGTTGTAATCTGGGAGTAAATCTTTGCTCAAGAAAATTTTACATCAGACTCATACTACCAAAATGCAGGGAATATGGGTGGTTTTGTTTAAAAACAAACAAACAAACAAAAAAACAACCTGCAAACAAACAAAACCTGCACGTTAGTGCAGGAGGCTGATAGCTCCACAAGGCAACCTTGTGGTGTAAGTAAATACTTTTTCAATGAGCAGTCCCTGAATCTTGGAAGAAAGATCCTAGCGGGCAGTCAGCGCCCTTTATTTGAGGAAGAGGACTGGGTCTTTTGCGTGAAATGTTTTTTTTATACCCGTTGGGAAAATCGATCTAGGCCTCCCCTGACAGCCATGGGAAAGCACAGGTGACACACTATTCCTGAGAATTTGATTACATTAAAACTGCACTTGACTTTCTCCGAATCCTGCCTCTCTGAAGTGTGCAGGGCTTGGATGCCCTCTTGAGATCGGGGTCTGGAACCCAGGGGCCCTTCTGCCGCCCCAGGCCTTGTTCTGATGGTGACAGTGGCCGCTGGCCCCCCAAACTGGGTTGTCCTTGGGCCAGGTTCCTAGCCGTGTTCTCGCTCGGGAACGAGGCGCAGGCCACTGCCCCCCTGGCGCAGTCTGGGGCCCCCGCGGGGCCGTCGGGGGTTCCTACCCCCACCCGCACCCGCCGTCGCACCAGGTTCGGCCTGGGCCTCGCGCGGCCGTCGTGCGTCCCCCGCCCCGGTCCCGCCGCCGCCCTCCCGAGGCCTCGTCCTCCGCGCGGCGGCTCCCCGGGCGCCGGGGCCCGCGGGCTGAGGGTCGGGCCGACCTCTTCCCAGACCCGCCGCGTCCTCTACCCGGCGCCGGGGGCGGGCCGGGCCGGCAGAGCCGAGCCGCCGGCGTCCATTTTCTGGGCGGTGCTGTGTGGCGCAGCGGCCGGACTCGCGGGTCCGGAAGAGACATGGAGCCCCGGGGGAACGCGCTGGCGCTGGAGCGGTCGAGCCCTGTAAGTGCCATTCGCGGGGTCTGTGTGCGGGGCTGGGTGGGCGAGGTGCGGCCTGCGGGCGCGGGGCCCCGGGCGCGACCAGCCTGACCCCCTCCTCTCCCCAGGAAGGAGCCCCGAAACCTGGCTGGCAAAGGCTGGCGCAGGGCTGTGAGCTCCGCGAGCGCTGGAAAGCCGAGCTGCTGCAGGGACCCAGCGGCCGCAGGTGCCAGGAGCCGGGGGCCTGCGCCTCAGGGGGAGAAGGGGGCCAACTGCTGACCCGGGCAGGTGGCGCCGCATCTCGTGGCCCAACCGCGCGACTGGGCGAGAGGGCGGGGGGCGGGGGGAGAAACGCGCACCCAAGGGCTGGGGACCTTAGGGCTCAGGTCCAGCAGGCTCAGGAACTGCGCTGACAGTCACAACTCCCCTGGCTCCGGCCTGCGACTGGGACCCCAGGCCCGACCCAGTGGGAACCTGATGATTTTCTTGGTTCAACACCAAGCCCCTGGAATTGAATGGGACGTGCAAAGGCAGGGCCCTGCCCCCAGGGGTTTGCAATCTCAGCCTCTTACTTCTGCAAGTAGTTAGGTCTGTTCTGTTGGTACAACACAACCGCCCGCTGTAAGCTGCTGCTTTGCAGGGTGTATAATAAATCACCCGAGATTTTAGTGTGTCCGCGATTCCACTTATTAAGTCCTGCTCTGCTGTAGGTAAGTGACTAATTCCATTCTGGACTGTGGCCCTAATTGAATATTCCTTTTAAGGATCCATTACAGATGATATATGTTATGGTGCCTTATACATATTTTAAAGGTTAAAAGACTTTTCTCCCAATTACGAAGCTCAGCTACTCCCGTTAGGTTCGCATGGCTAAAAAGCATAGGAGAATTTAGTCCGTGGTTTCAGAGAAACTTCTGGTGAGGTACCGTATGTAAGTATAGTGTTTTTCCAACAAGAGTAGGGACCCATTAGAAGATTGTGGAATCAGTTTAGTGGGTTACTACAGGAATTTTAAAAAAAGATATAAAATACGTAATCCAATATAGAAAAGAAGAGAATAGAAAATATCAGAGTGCATTGTTGTTGTTTTGAGACTTTGGGGTTTATATAATGTAATTTTTTTAAAACGGTAGGTCACTGCCACAAAGTTTTTAAAACACTTGTTTACAGGTTAATAACCCAAGCTTTGGAGTCAACTGAACCTGAGTTTAAGTCTCAGATCTTACATAAACTACCTGTGTGACCTTGAATAGATTCCGTGACCTTTCAGAGCCTCTTTTTCTGTAGCTCTAAAGTGGGGAATGTCTCCTACATCGGAGGGAGGGGTATTATGAAGACTATATGAGGTCACATATGTCAGTATTTTGCTCAGTGCTTGACTTAGAGTAGGTGTTCAAGACACATGGTAATTGTAATTACTGTTGTTGCTGAAACATCAAATCCTGGCAGCCAGTCATGGGACACTGTGCTATTTCTTCCCTTCTTTCTTTCTTTTTTAGGTCTTGATGTGGAGGAGATGGAGGACTCAGAACCAAGAATTTCCGAGTGATTCCTTCCAAAGCACAAGAAACTGTTAGTGCTGGTGTGTTCTAACTGAGGTAACTGAATTTGTGTTTCTCCTTAGTCTGTATGAAATAAAAAAGGGTTTTTCTGAGGGACTGAAGGACTCCCAAGGGTCATATGATTTGTGCCAGCGATCCACCAGATTGGGGGATTACAGAGTGACAATGACATTTAAGTGAACTGTTATTAAGGAGACAGGAGGCTCCTGTGATGAAGGGGGGACTAAGTGAAACAGGGCTTCAGGACAACTGGCCTCTCATTCCAGTTCTGCCAGTGACTGTCGTGGGACCTTCTTTAAATCTCTTCATAGATCTCTAGCTTGTCCAGACTGGAAGGGACCACAGACATCATTGAGGCCCAGAGAGTTTAAATGGCTCTACGGGGTAACCCAGTGGGCTGGGGCCAAGGCAGGATGACACTTGGATCTCCATTGCTCAGTCATGTAGCCAGCTCAGGGGCTGCCGGAGGGAGAGCACCATGCTAGGCCCTGAGAGTATACATGTGAAGAGCTCACCCCTAGGATGCTTGCAGTTTATGTAGACAAGAACTGACAGCCCAGCAAAATGCTGGGGGTTTTTTTGTTTTTGTTTTTTTTTAACTCCTCACAATACCCCTACAAGGTAAAGAAGAACAGATGTGAAGGAATAAAGTGTGAAAATGCAGGCCATGGAGGGCTTTATATCTCATACCATATGTGTGGTGCACATTCCGTATGCGAAGCACAATGCTAGGACCACAAAGTTCAAGGCAAAGTGCTGGCCCTTGAGGAGTCTGCAGCCTAAACTCCAAAGAGGCAGTCAGTTGGGCAGTGCCTGACGTTCACCCCTCCTTCACCTGCCTCTCCAGCAGTCAGCGTGGGATCTGTTAACAGGAAGAGACCTGAGTAGCTGACATTGTCACAGTTCTTGCCTTTTGATGCAGTTTTTTCAAATTTAACCTATACTTCCATCTGATTACTAAAACTGATACTTTCAACTTATAAACAATAGTAAGGTCTTCTCTGAATTAATTCATTGATTTGTTCACTCAACAAATGTATATTAAACTCCTACAAGGCACTTGGGTATTCAAGACCAAGCATACCGTATTTTTACAATCATGGTATTAATCATGTTCAATCTCTTAGCAAGGAATTATTTGTCCAACTGTTAGAGATTTGCTGTTGTTAACATACTAGAATGTCAGCTCCAAGGAAGTTCGAGATTGACCCATAAAGGATATATAGATCTTTAAAAATCTTGAAATCTTAAGAAAGGAATTTCTTCTCGGGGCGCCTGGGTGGCTCAGTCGGTTAAGCATCCAACTCTTAATTTTCACTTAGGTCCTGATCTCAGGGTTGTGAGATCAAGCCCCGCATTGGGCTCCATACTGGGTGTGGAGCCTGCTTGATTCTCTCTCTCCCTCGGCCCTCCTTCCCCCCAAAAAAGAAAGGAATTTCTTCTCTTTTAAATTTTGATTTTGCCATTACTGTCACCTGCTTATAGAGGTCTTTTGTTTGTACACTTAACCAATAGACACAGAGGAAAGCAGTTTGGCAAGGGGGCTTTCTTTAACTTGAAATGCTCTCCTCTTCTAGCTTCGTAGGCTACCCAGGACTAGAAGTGTTCAAAGGTAAAGCAATTTAAGAGATACTTTAATTTACAGAGTACAAAGTTAGAGAGCTCCAATAATTGCATTAAGCAACAAAATCAGTTTGTAAGTCTTGAATGCTGCTTGTAATAAACTTAACTCCAAATAGAACAAATGAGATGTTGAATGTGAATGTGCTTTGTAAACTTCTAGTTCTATAAATGTTATACAACAAATATTTATTGAGTGCCTACATGAGTACGTCACTGTGCTAGAGAAAACAGAGGATTCAGTAGCAAAAAGATCTGGGTCCTTCCCTCTCAGACCCTGTTATGTATAGATGAGGAAATAGCATATGCAGAACACCGTGTGGTAAATGCCTAAAAAGATAGTTTGGTAAATCAAAAAGGAAGAGGTCTCTTTTACCTCTAGGAGTCAAGGGACTCTTTCTTGAGAAAAGGCATTTAAGCAAGTCCTTGAAGGATGTAGAGTTTCCATAAAAGAGATGTGGAGAAGGGGCACTTGGCTCAATCAGTTAAGCATCCAACTCTTGATTTTGGCTCAGGTCATGATCTCAGGGTCATGAGATCAAGCCCCATATAGGGCTCTGTGCTCAGCAGGGAGTGTGCTTGAGATTCTCTCTCTCCCTCTCCCTCTGCCCCCTGCCTTTAAAGGAAATAAATAGGGGCTCCTGGGTGGCTCAGTTGATTAAGCATCTGCCTTCTGCTCAGGTCATGATCTCAGGGTCCTGGGATCGAGCCCTGCATTTGGCTCTCTGGTGAGCGGGGAGTCTGCTTCTCCCTCTTCCTCTGCCCCTCCTCTCCAACCCCCCATCCCTGCTCATGCACGCACTCGCGCTCTGTCTCAAATAAATAAAATATCTTTTAAAAAGATAAATCTTTTAAAAGAGAGAGATGAGGAGACTGCATTTGAGATAGGAAGAATAGCAGGAGAACAAGAGAGCATGGACCGTATTCAGGGAAAGGTAGTGAGTCCAGCTGAGTTAGAACTGGCCTATACAGGCATCAAGTGGGAAATAAAACTGAGAACGTTCAGTGGCAAACAATAATGGTCTTGTATGTCCAGCTGGGAAATATGAATGTATTAAACCAATAGGAGTCTATTGAGTATATTTGAACAGGGGAGTGTCACAGCTATGCATCAGGGGCAAGCTGTTGTGAGTAGCTCATGGGGAGAGCGATAGGGAGGAAAGGCAGGGCAGAAACCAGAGACAGGGAGACCAGTTAGAAGGCTCCCACAGTCCATCAGGGTAAGGGGGGAGTGTGGGAGGGGAAGACGTGAAATGGGAAAGGAACAGATGCAAAGGAAAGAACACCATCTGACATCTCAATGAAGAAGGAGTAACTAAAGCTGCCGCTGAGGTTTCGCCCAGAGTGCTGCCCGTGAGGGAAACTTCAAAGGTGGGTAAGGAGCTGCATTTGAGAGGTGCTGAGTTGGAGGTGGTGACAGCTCCCTGGGGGCTTTGTGCCACAGAGGAAAGCTAGAGCTAGCTTGGAAGTCGTTAGATATAAGAAAAAGTCAAGAGGTGGGAGAAAAGATTTTCTAGAGAGAGAATATAGGGAGGCAAAGGTTGAGGATGGAGCCTTATGAGAAAAGAAGGAAGGACCTAGGGAGGACCCAGAGAGAAGTCTGGCAAGGGAGAAAGGAAGAACTGCAAGAGAACAGGACTCCAGCAACCAGCCAGCAGAAGGGGTTTCCCAGTGGAGGGAGCCGGAAGTGCCAGACGATGGCAGGGGTGTGGGGGGGTGCTGAGCTCAGGATGCCATTGGATCAACAAGGGCTAGATCATGTTTGTTGGCACTTTTGTTTTTGAGGTAATATGACTTGAAGAATGAATATTAAATGGGTTCATTTCCAAGAATTTGTAGTTTGCACAAATCAAGAACCACTGTTAAATTTGATCCTAGCTAGCCCCCCAAAACACTTTTTTTTTTTAAGATTTTATTTATTTATTTGACAGCGAACACAAGCAGGGGGAGTGGGAGAGGGAGAAGCAGGCTCCCTGCAGAGCAGGAAACCCGATGCGGGGCTCGATCCCAGGACCCTGGGATCATGACCTGAGCCGAAGGCAGACACTTTAATGACTGAGCCACCCAGACACCCCCCCAAAACACTTCTGATTACTAAAAATACAGCTCTTAAATGTGGTTTCGATAGTAGTCATTTGTACACTTTATTCTGTTGTGAGCAGACAGACCAGAGAATATCTGTTGATAGGATAAGTTCTTTAAGAACTACATTTCTGTTGATGCAAGAGGTTTGCTAAAAGTAATTTAATTCCTTTGCCTTTTACTAAATGGCTAATGTATGATGTATGTATGTGTGAGAGAGAAAGAGAAAGAGTGTGTGTATATGTGTGTGTGTTTTCATGGGCATATGAGCTTAATACAATGGAATGAGAAGACTGGGGTCAGATAAATCTAGTTTCACAACCTCACCGGGCCATTTTCCAGGCTTGTGACTTCAGAAACGTTACTCTCTCTGTAAGTGTAACTTTTTCCATCTATAACTCAAATAAGATTATTTTGAAGATTGAGAAATGTGTAATTTGGTCAGGATCTGTACCACAGTAGGAAGTTAATAAATGTTGATTCCCTTCCCCTTACAACCTTGTATAGGTATGTAAATTTCTGTGTAATATGTCTCTATACACAAAGCCTTATCTTTATGACTTATTTTAATGTGTTGATTTTATCATGGAAAGAGCATTCCTCCTGCTGTAGCTAATCTATCCCGTGATAATTCAACTGATTGGCAACTAATACGGATAAGAATCCACCTGGGGAATATATTAAAACGTGGGTTCCCGGGCGCCTGGGTGGCTCAGATGGTTGAGCGTCTGCCTTTGGCTCAGGTCATGATCCCAGGGTCCTGGGATCGAGTCCCGCATCGGGCTCTCTGCTCCTTGGGAGCCTGCTTCTCCCTCTGCCTCTCTCTTTCTGTCTCTCATGAATAAATAAATAAAATCTTTAAAAAAAAAAAACAAAAAACGTGGGTTCCCAGGCCCACAATCCAGAGATTCTGAGGATGTGGATTTGGGGGAGGGCCTGGGAATCTTCATTTTAAACAGGCAGTGCAAGATGAGGATTAACAAGTACCAGTTTCTGGGAAGCAGACGATGGGGAAGACCTGAGCCTTGATATGCTGATTGCAAATCCAGTTTCTTTTTTTTTTTTTTTTTAAAGATTTTATTTACTTGTGAGAGAGCGAGCGAGAAAGCACACACAAGTGGGGGAGCTATAGGCAGAGGGAGAAGCAGGCTCCCCGCTGAGCAAGGAGCCGGATGCGGGACTCGATCTCAGAACCCTGGGATCATGACCTGAGCTGAAGGCAGACACTTAAGCGATTGAGCCACCCAGGTGTCCCTGCAAATCCAGTTTCTATCAGACATAGGTCTATGCCCCGGTGTTTTATATTTGTATCATTAACGTTTGTGGGTTATATC